AACCCTTTGGATATATTTTGTGGGTACTGAGATGTGCCTGGAGTCTGCCAAACCAGCACTTAACTGAAATCACAATTCATCTGAGAAGCTTTTTCTGTCAAAGTCATTATTTTCTCAAATATTCTCAAACTTCTCAAGTCAGGGCATGGATAGCTGGAGATAAAGCTCCTTGAAAAACACACTTATCTCTTTTTTTCTTTCCCTTCTAGGTAAAACCAAATATTGTTATTGTTTCACATTATGCATTACTCAAAGCATAATTTAGTCAAATCCCATTGTGTGTGCACACACATGCTGTCCAGCCTCAATTCTAAGATATAAAATGTGGTATTATTTTTTATTCTCATCCATTTACTTGTTATGTCTGTTTCCAATCTATTAAATTAGAACTCAGTGTTCTCAAATGATGGAAGTGATGATATAATCCTACAGACTGAAGTCTTTCTGTTCTGGTACAGGAGCACATATCAATCCATGACAGTAAGCTAAAAGGTTCAAGAAACAGTGATGCAAAATACTGAGTATTAACTGCTTAATGACAAAGACTAACTGGTATACTTTTATGAATTCTTTTTAGAAACTGGCCACCAGGTCTGTGGTCTACAGACTGTAGCCTGTGGATTAACTTCAGTTTTTCCATTTATTTTATAAATTCCAGCAACTGAGTTTGATATAGCTGTAAAGAAAAAAAGAACAAGAAAAAAAATGAAAAACAAAAAATAAATAAATGAGAAAAAAGAAAAGAACAAGAAAAAAGAACGAGAAAAAAAGAATATAACAAGAAGAGCTCCTTACCTATCGGTTCTTCTTGTTCAAAACCAGAAGACTGTGCATTATCCATAACATTAAGGTGGATTTGGCTGAGATGTAACATTAGGTTTTTAATTTGTACAAAACCATGTTTAGTGCTGAGCCACTTTCTCATATGTGGTTTTTGTGTAATTCTATAATTTTCTCTATTAACCCCTCACCTTATCAGTCACTCAATTAATTTGTCTGTTTTATTTCTCTGGTAGAGCCACACGTTCAAATCATCAATTAAAAGCTCAAGTATCAATAGTTAATAGTCCATGTAATGATTGCACCTAGCAGTAATAAAATTCTTCAAGTTAGCAACTTATCAAATGAACAGTGAGAATTACTCTATTGGCTGTAACCAATAATAAAACATCTGCAAAACCCAGAAGCAAATACATTTCAATTTAGAATAATCCATCCTAAACCCTGACCACTGAGTTTTCAAATTATAGCCTCACAAATTTCTACTTGTTCATTTTTCTTCATGGAATAATTAGTTTTGCTTTGTTTTCTGGTGTATATCTAATTCTTTAGCTTATTCAGATACACATTTTTGTGGCGGGGTCGAGTGGGAACTTATATATATATAGTTTATAAAAGAAATCTTGACCTCCATCGCATGATGTCAAGGACAAGTACTGCTGTAGATATAAAGCAAGCTGGTATAAGCACATTTTTCTTTAAAACATTATAGCAACTATTAAGAGTGGTTCTTACGATGGAAGATGCTGGAGCTTGAAAGTAATACTTCTATTTACTTCTTTTTGTTCTGTTCTTGAGCTGCAATGTTTTATTTCATATGCACTGTTCAGAGTAATCCCAGCACAGAACGGAAAAAACATGTTAGCTGCTTCATTTTTAAGATAGTTTTAATCAGGTAATTACAAGAAAAAACATTAAAACAGTTTTTATGGTGTTATCTACTATGTCAACTTACAAGGATATGATGTAACAAACCAGTTACAAACTTAAAGACATATTTACATTATATACTTAAGGTAACAAGCTATATTCATAAAGGAAACACCTATGGGATGAGTTACCTAAATTATACATAATTTACTAGAAACAAATAGCAGTTGAGGTTTAATGGAAACAATATACACATGAGGCACTTTGAGGTCATTAGGGTGGAAAGCAAATGGCACCAAGCAAAAGAAGGAAAACCACGTACAGCTTATACTGCAGCTTTGAACATGAAGGCTGCTTCTTCACCAAATGTCTGATTTCTTTAACGAACCACAACTTTTGCAATTAAGAGAGAGAAACCTTCAGGGAAGAAAACCCCCAAAACGAAACCCAAACAAGCCCCCCAGTCCCTCTTTTTTTTCATCAGTGCACCAAAGGAAACAGAAGTTTTATCCACTGCTGGACTAACAGTACCATAAGGCATCTTTTTAAAGTTCTTGTTTTCATTGCCAGCCCTGAGCCTGATCCTCATTTTACTAATAAGAATGTATAGCTGTACTGGCTGCACACTGTGCCATAAGCTCAGAGAAGATTTAAAGTCTCATTTAAACCTGGGCATTATTTACACAAGAGTTCAACATTATCCTCCAGGTACACATGGACAGATCATTCTGAAGAGAACTCATCCAAAATGGGAATGTTATATTCCAACAACCACAATTAAGGCATTCTTCAAAATACCTTTCCTTCTCTAGAGGAAACTGCATTGGTTAAGACTGTTTGGAGCATCCCTTCCTTAAGCTCTCGAAGAGTTTTATGCCAGCATTTGCTGCTGTTTACTAAATAGTTACCATAATAATTGTAGAATATTATCAAGTATTGCTTTAACTGTGCACACAACTGTAGATATACTTTTTGCAGCTACTGAATTGCGTATGTGAGTGCACCCACCCACCTGTGCATACTCAAAACTTGATTTATATCACAAACCAAAAGGCCAGATGCCCTCCGTGTGAACATCAAAGCTCCATCACTTTGCTGTGGGAAGAACTTCAATAGGGGAAATAGATAAAATAAGAATAAAAAAAATATTTCTTATAAACTCAGTGACAGAATCAAAATAATTTTAATTTCATTTCTGATTTTTATGCTCCTGTGTAACAGGCCATTGTAACTACTTTAAACCTAACAAAATATATGGTTAAAGGATTTTTACTTCAGTGTTAATAATGGCACTTAAGAAGCATGATGAGATAAGAAAACACAGTAAGATTCCAAATTACAATCCTGTAAATTCATAACTAAAGCATAACATATTTGTGTAACTTAATCGTGCACCAATGGCCAGTTAAATGACGATTTAATCCAATACCGCGCCTGAACGTCACTTTTCCCCCAGTAGATGGTGCACGAGTGCTGCTGTCATTTAACTTCTTTCCGCACTTTCAAGGGGAAATACTTAATTTTCACGGTAACCGAGGTTTTCAACAAGCGAGGAACTTAATATTCAGTGACGGTTTCCAAAGGCTCGGGTCCCCTCCAAGCAGCACAAAGCTCTGCTACTACATGGCTGACAAACTACAGCTCTGACATTAAAAGCAAGGGGAAGAGTATGGATTGGGGAAGAAAATCCTCTCTTTCCAAATGCTTAAGAAAGTATTTCAGATAGGATAAATCTAACATGCCACCAAAACCAAAAGATAATATGCAGATGTAGCAGCCTGTTCTGGAATGGGTTTGCCATATGTCCACCTTCCACTACTTCTCTCCCAAATACAACAGTGGGTAAGATTCCTAACATCAGAAGAAAAGGTACACATGCAGGCTACTAAAACCAACCCTTTTGTAATCTTGTAGCTTTGCATTCAGTTAGCTGCTCTCAAACCAGGCATGCAGGCTGACACTTCCAGCACAAGAACAAGTGAGCATACGTCCATTCAGTAACTCTTTTTTAGATGAAGCAGTTCTTCAAAGAGAAAAGCAAAAGGTGAAAACATTTTAGCAGCAAAGTGGTTAAATGTAAGGTAAAAATATTAATGCACACATTCAGTAAAAATATTAAAGCATATATGTTTCATATAAAATACAGTACAGGACCAGGAGTTTCACTGTTGTATAGTGCTCAGAGGAAACTGTTAAACTAATTTCTTTCTGTAGTATATACATAATATGATTATATAGTATTTTTCTATACAGCCAGCAAGTTCTTTTCTTAGGTTGTTCATACCTCTCCACCTTGAAGGAGGAACCCAGCACTCAGAAATTATAAATTCCTCTCATTCACTAGGAAAACATCACCTTTTTTTTTAATGAAAGTTGTTTTTAAAGTTAACAGTCTATTCTAGGCAACCAAGTTTAGCTGAAAATGTGTGAAGCATGAAAACCAACCAGAGTAGCAGCTTTCAAATATATAAACAGTAAAAACCAAGACTGCTGCTACCGTATCATATTCTTGGACTTGAGTCATCCAATCAACTCTTAATACAAAACTAGAAGCTCTTCTGTAACTTCTGTAGTTATCAAGATATTTGTCTTCTTTTTCAATGTGAAATAATACTTTCAGATGATCTATATACACAAGGTGGCCAATTCAAGCTGTAATATAAATATAAATGTTTTCTTTCAAAAAGTATTTTACAGACAGATAAAGTTATTTACATTCACTCATTTTACTTCTGGGCTACAAAGGAAAATTAGGGGGACTGGTACAGACAGAAAAAAATTACACAAAATATACTGAAAAAAATGCATAGAAGTGAGAAAAGTAAGTCATGTATGTGCATCTTTTAAAATGACTCAATTAGGTCGTTTGTTTAATAACAAGGGTATACTGAGGAGAGTCTGTCCCACTCCAGCCAAGATGTCAAATAGGCACCTTCACTGATAAATTATGACTGTTTTTAGTGTTGTACGTCTTTAACAAGAAGTAACATGTTTGTTACTTCATAACAGAGGAAAACACATAATGTTTTAAAAAATTCTCTATGGGTTAATTAGTTAATTCTTACCTGAAAGTTAAAGACTTACTAAGTACAAAACCATAAGAAATATCACACACAATATATCACCGTGCATACACACACATACACATGCTCTCTCACTCTCCACCACCACTCCCCCACCGCCGCCTTGAAAGTTCCCAATTAAGAAGTTCACTCAGTTTTGCCTAGGCTGTAATTTATTTCTCAAGCTAAGTCTTTTGTTGTTGTTTTTGAACAAAACACACAGTACTTTTGTTCTTGCCCATTCAAATTAGAAAAAGTTGTGGTTCAAAATAATGAGAACAATTTCACTTTTGTTATTAATCTTTTGTTTTAATCATAGTACTTGATAAACAGCTGAACAGGATCCTAGTTTAACAGAAGGATAAACAAGAACACTGATGACAATTTGTTACAACTGCCTTAATGTACCTTTTGCTTAATGAACATCTGAATATGCAAGAAAATATTTTTGGAGGACACCCCAAAAGAAAACAACTTGCTGGTTGAACAACAGAAACAACGTCCTTTTTGCTATTATGTTGAAATCAAAGTCATTTATATATAAAAATAAATGTTATGTTCTAACAAGAACATTTTAGACAATTACATCTGTGCTTAACAAAAAATATTGGTCACTTGAGACTAGAATAATTAATATTTTAAAGGTTTTTAGATTATCAGAATGTATGGATACAATTCAACACAAACTGTAGCTGAAGGGAACCAGGACTGAAAATATCAATTCGTCCATCTGGAATAAAAATGCAACTAAATTAACTAATTAAATATTTAAAATACTACCATGGAATGTGACAGTAGATATGGTCCATACCTACTATATCAGAGGGAAGGAAAGTTTAACATGTAATAATTCGTACCTTACACATTTAGTTAAATATAAACATTTGTTATTTATACATAAAGTCGCTTCCAAAAAACTATTAATAAGTGATTTAGTTGCACTTAAAATCAGTTTTATTTCTCATTTGCCAAGTATTAACTTTTCTTAATCTTAAATCAACTGTCACTAGTGCACTTTTAGTTAAAATTTCCATCAGGTAAGTTTAATCCTTTTAAAAGAGCCCCCTCACCTAAACCATGAATGTACAAAGTGGCAAAAGTTAATCTCTTTTAGTATAATCATAGTTTATATACTCATTTTATAGCCAATAATAAGAACAGGCTTTCCTTTGCAAGATCTCCTTCACAACTTGCAACAAATGCCACGCACTCAAAGGAAATAGTTAGGCGTGGCTACCACTTGTAAAATGCCAAGGTCTGACAAGTCTTGTTGCTTCCTCCACATCAAGCATCTCTTATGTGAAAGAAGATTCCCTTCAGCTTGCCAAAAAGCTTCCACAAATCCAAGTTAGATGCTTCCTGGAAACAAAGATTTTTCAGCTCTGTTTGGCACAAGACTGATTCATCCCGCAGCTTTATGCTTTCCTCCACAGCACCCACACACCTCACCACAGTGATGGCAAGCTCTCAAGGGGAGGTAGCAGCACATACATGGAGCAATGAAAGAGAGTGCCACCAGTGCTAACCAGCGTAAGCAGAACTTGTCATCACTAGTGTCACACGAGCAAGGATCAGAGAAATCTCCTTCAGAGTCTGACATGCAGTGATACAGCATGCTCTCTGCGCAAAGCATGCAACTAACTTGGTAGATACATCTTTTAATAGGATCTGGCGCATCTTGACATTTTCCTCTGCCATTATCTTCATGATTAAACCTTTCCTGGCAGTATATACAGCGGGAACGCTCACCATCCTCTTTTCTTCTTTTGGAGTTTTTAAATTTTGATGAGGAAGGCTGAGTTTTAAATACCACAGAACTCTTCGAGTCTTTCAGGGAATTCAACTTAGTTCCATCCCCACATGGGTATAAATAGTCAGATTTTTTACTGTCTGATTTAGAAAATGGTATATTTGAGTCTGCATCATCCCTCTCCAGGTCGTTCTTCCACATGTCAGGATGCCTGTAGTCTGCATAACGACGTATCAAAATGTCACGAGGGTTTATCCTAACAATTTCATCTTCGTCCTGAAAACTAACGTGTCTGATGGACTTCAGTGGGACCTGAAATGGCAAAGTAAGAGAAGTTTACTACAGTGAAGTCTCAAATTTACATCCACCTACAATGTAAAACTCAAATTAGAAAATTAAAAACCGACACTTTTTTTCCTTGCTGCTTGACAATAAAAAAATCCAGCTTATTTTCTCACTATTACAATTTACAAACTTCCCCACAGTAATGAGTCTTTTGCATGGTATTAGGTCTATGAGCTTTAGTATTCTTTCCTGATTTTTCAATACCTTCTAAGAGCTTTGAACATTTTGGTATCCACACAAAACTTGATGCTGCTCTTTGAATTATGCTCAAAATTAGGGTGTTAACATCTTTTGGTGGAAACTAACTCCACAGATTAATTATGCCTTATGTGAACATGCTGATTTCACATCAGCGATGATCTGCTGCTTTAGGACTAACTCCCTGATACATTCACTTTTGTATTATCTAGGAGAAGCTTTCCTTTATTCCTGTCTTAAATTTTTGAACTCTCTCCATTTTATAACAAGAGTACTCAATATTTGTTACTTATTCTCAAAGCTGCATTCTAGATGAGGATTTTATCATGTGAAGAATAATATTCAGTATGACGATCCATCAGCTTCTAAAGACATTTCCCCTTAGCCAATATACAGTACTTAAATTCATTAGTTCAGGACACTAGCAAACACCTAAGTACTTCCTAAATTCTCAGCTTGTAATGAACTGACTATAATTCAAGACTTTAAAAGGCAGGTAAGAAGGAACGTGCTAAACATGCACAAAACAAACAGTAGAGAAATAAGAGAGAGTTCTTGTTCTGCCTTACAATGAGAGGGCATGGGGGCATAGGAAAGTTGTCAAAGGTGGCAAAATTCATAGAATCATCTGAACTGAAATACTGAAGACCTTAGATAAAAGCCTAAGATAGTGGACTGCCACTAAGTGTTACTGAAATCACATTACAAGTGACTTGCAAGAAAAGGTGCAAATAATGACAAGATAAAAATTTAGAATGTGTATGAAAGTAGCTCCTGAAAATAGCAGACAGTGCAAAGGTCTCAGTACGTCCCAGTATTCCTACCTTACAGACAGGCAATTATTTTCCTACACTGTAGGGCTATTATAATCAGAGACAGATTAAAAGTGGGCTTCAAGTCAAATTCCGCCTTCTCCTCCTGTCAAGTGCACAGCCTGTAAACCACCTCACAGAAAGGACCAAAAAAATCTCCACTCCCTAACCTATTAGCCTTACAAAGTCTCCAGAATCATGAATTATTTGGGAATGCATCTTTGGCACCAGTATGGTTGCTTTGGGAGCGTTTACCTTATTAATACTCAAATTAATGAGAATTAATGTGTCACTATTCCAAAGTCGAGGACAACAGTTGAACTACACGTTCCTAATCTGTTGCAGTGTGTGACAGAAAACTACTGAAAATGATGTTAAAACACTTCTATTTTACTTCTCACATGCCTATGCTCCTACTACGCTGAAGTCTGCATGTCCTGGTTTTGGGGTAGGAGACAGAGGAGGGAGAAGGGAAGTCAGCTGGGAAAGAGGAAGAAAGAACTTATTAAAATATGCCATCTTCTGATTATGTAAGAATATCTGTAGCCTGCTCTAACCATCACTTCCCTGCTCAACAATCCTTGTGTGATAAGTACAGAACTGTAATTAGAGCTGCTTTGCCCTGAGACTCTCAACTGGAATATGCTAACAATAATAATGTTTTTTTTCCCGTGGCTCTAAGCCACATAGTTGGATTTCCACAAGGTCTCAAGGATATAAGAAGAAGAAAGGTTATATCCTATTTAGCTAACATTGCTCCTCTTCCATACTTCCCCTAGCTCCTATACAAGCAGTCAGGCTTCCCCTTTGCTTATAAAAGCAGAATGCTTTTCAACTCTACTCTGTTTTCAAACAAGAGGAAGAGTATTGTTTAGCACCAATAAATAGCTATGGCAAATTGGCTTTCTTGAGCACTTTACAGCATAAATTTATTTAAGGGGAAAAGCAGCAAAAATGTCATTAGAATCCCGTATGTTACAGGCATAAGGATCCTTACCCCACTGTCCTCATAGAATATTACACACACATTTAAGACATTAAATAAAACCCATTGTTTAAAGGAAAAAACCCTTAAAACCCCAAACAAAAAAACCCACCCTCAACCTCCCATTCTCCAGACAGCCATTAAAGATCACTACAAATGCTAACAACTGTAAAATCTGACCTCTCCTCAGCCTTTGAAGGCTTTTTATTTGCTTGAGCAGAACACATCATATACATAGAACTCATTTGATTTTTTCGAGTCCCCAGCCCAACACCTAAAAATACTTAAGAACTGACATGTTACAAACAACGCACCACTACACATTCTTTATACAACTGATGTTGAGAAGTATTTTTTTAAGAAAGAAAGTGGGAAATGCTGAAAAACAAGCAAACTGGAGAAATGTTGGAAAAGCTTTATTTAAATGAAGTGCATACTCATTGAGTGTTTAATGGGACCTACATGAACACATGAAAACTTAAGAACAATACACAATTCAAATTCAGTTAAGTACAAATACCAGCAAAATTCAATGAGAATAGCAGACACAGTCCTCTAAACATTCAAAATTAAAACTCAGTATGCCATCTCTGAATGCTAGCTGAAGCAGGAAGGGAGTAGGAATATTACAGCAAACCAAAATTCTACAAAAAATCTGATTATGAACATGATTAGCCAGATGGAAATTAGAGAGAAAATTTTTGTTGACACGCCTGAACCCACAAGTATTGCACCTTACTTGAAGGGATGCACTTCTAAACAAGGCATGGTCACTTGCTTGGTACTGTAGCCTTTGCTGTCTCTGCCCAAACAGATATACCTGTCTTTGCTGAGCTTGCAGCTTCACAATATGAGGACACCAGCAGCTGAATCCATCATCGCAAAACACTAAATTTAAGTTAAACATGCATCCACGTATCAGAAGCTGAAAAGTTGAGGGACTTAAGTATTTTCTACTAATAGCCAAAGTACTACAGGTAAAGATCTGAATTGTCATTAATCACTTTAGTTTGAGCGCACACTTCTCAAGCTGTTCAACTTACGAGCACAGTAAGTGTTCAAACTTATTTACGTAAAATTGAAACAAAATGGGTAATTAGCTCAAGATTTGCTGTGCCACCTGGTCACATGCATGGAGTTTAGTTGAGACAGTGCAGCATGTACATATACAGAATGTGAGGTTTTGTTGACTTGCCTATATTCTAAATATGTGTACCACAAGACCATGCAAAAAGCATGGAATCTCAGTTGCAGATGGTGACAAAATATGATAAGAATATTTTAAAGAATATCTACTTAAATTTTCATGGAATCTCTCATAACTGCAGTTTTCAATTGAAGCATTGTAATTTCAAAAAAATTACTATTTAATTTCTATTAGACAGACACAAACTACCCAGTATACCACAGCTTAAATTATCATTTACTCAGTAGCCAATTTTATACATGCTCTTAAAACAGATATTTTAAGCTACTGCACTTTTCTTTACAACTCAGTGAAGACTAACAGCACATACATCATTGGTTACTGTAGCTATTACATGTTAGCTGCAATAACCTAATCACCTATCCATTCTATTCTAAAAAATATTTACAATTCTATTTGCAAGTAAATGGGAAGAGAGAAAAATATGTACCTCTTGATGAACAGAACAAACAGAAATATGAGGTGACTTATACAAAGAGATAACCAGAGTAGATCAATGATTAAAAATCAGAAGTTCACAATTTTGAGCTCTTTACTTAGTTCTCCAGATGATACTGCTCACTTCTTTTGCCCAATAAAGCAGCTTAAGAGCAGCTGATACAAGACTTTAATACAATCCTATCTTTCTCTGCAAAAATGACTGAGAGTCTTAAAAAGCTCTGTTTCAAGGAACAGAAATATTTCTGACAAGTCTTCAAAACTACTTGAACTTGCATTCTACTTTGACTGCTGTTATTCACATATTCTAAGAGCTTCCCATGTGTTTGCTTCTTGACATAAAAGCTTCCCAGGCTTCTAGACATAAGACCCTCAAATTAATTATTATCCAACTTACTGTGAAGTCTACTTCTACAGGCTACAAAACCTGTCAAATTCTTTGAGCTTTAGAAAAAAGCAAAATGTACAGTGTTAGAGGAAAAGCTGTATCAGCGGCTGAATACTTTTTATACATAACTGATACATTATTTTCCTTTGTGAACCAAAATAGAGTATTTTAGTTTTAATAGGCAGTTAGAGAGGATAAGCAATGTTTCACTAAAAATATTTAGCAGAAGTGCACTACTTTGCAATGCATCCAAGAAATCAGTTTTAAAGACACTTTTCGGTACTGCTAATCAAAACATTATTAGTATACGTATAAGCAAGATTGAGCTCATGGCCAAATAACATTTTCTGAAAAATTTTTAACAGTTTTTCAAGGCTGCAGATACTGAAGTCTGTAATATGAAAACTGAATTCAAAGAAAATAAAGATTTATTAATGTAGTCTGGTGCAATACAAACACAGGTAAATACCTTCACAAAGCTTTATCTCTGCCATAATAATGCTATAATATTTCAGCTGCAAAGCCTATATTGGTAATTTCAAGAAGTTGAGAGTATAATACTATACACAGGGACTTAGATCAAAGTGATTTCTTGTCAGAAACTACATACTGTGCCATTAATACAGCAAGCAAATAAGAACAGCTTCTTTTATTGGTATTCTTACCTGGTTAGGCTGGTTAGGAAAACAGGCTCTCCTGGTGTTGAAATCCTCAAATGCTGAAGGCCTTAAATTTGCACTGTTGTAGGTTTCACTGGTTACTACAGTTTCATGTTGAAAAAGGTGATCTTTCATTAATGAACCTGATGTATTTTCTTGAGCAGTCTAGAACACATAAGAACTCCCTTGAAATGATTTTGCATTTATAGAAAAACCACACCAAACCCACCAAGTTCACACATAAATGTATTAATATTCTATATAATGTGTTAGAGGCATCTAAAATTAGAAGTATTTTTAAAGCACTTAGAAGTAGGCAAGTATTTTCTTTACTATGAGTCAGCCTTGGTAAATACAAAGTTTCATCTCTGCAGAGGGTACAACTTGGGCACTTCAGATACACACCTTCCAAACTCAGTTGCCAAATCAGACTTCTTTAAGGAAGCAGAGATTAGCCCAGTCTCTGAGATTATGCTTTCTCTAACCACCCATGAGGCTGCCAGTATTTACAAAAATACAACTGGAGAAAAAAAAACTTCTGAGACTAATAAGACAAAAGCTAGTCAGACCTTTTAATAAATTAAAAGCAAGATCAGCTGGAAAAGATCAGAAACACAGTTTTAACATACACTAATTAACAATATCTAATTACAGCAAGTGTGTATTAAACAACTAATGACTGACTTTTAAAGAAATTAAGGTTATAACAGGCAATTTGATACAAAATTGAGACCATGTGGCAACATATAATGAGATATCTGCAGGACCTGTGCCATTCAGAATAAAGAAGAGGAAGTATGTTTGGGTAGAATACTGGCTTGTGAGGTGATCCAGTTTCTAAAATGAACAGAAAAACAAACAGTCCTCATTCTTTAAGCTTAACTGACTGGGGTATACTTCGGATACAGCAGAGCATTTTGATACTAATCCCATTGGGCTGCCAAAAATATACTGTAGGATGTTTTGTTTGTATTGAGAGATGCTGTAAAGTTAACTGGCTGTCATCATCTGATAGCAGTGAGAAAATTCTGGCATCATCCAGCTTCCAGCAATGAGAATGTTTTAGCTTTATTACAAGGACTTGTATATATCAAGAAAACATTAAGAGGAGAAGAATAAAAACACTGCAGAAAACTACTGAGGCAGGGGCAAACCGAAAGTTTTGTCAGGTTCATTTATCAAAATACTTAAGGAACTTATTCTGGGATTACATTAGCACCTCATGTATGTAAAAGCCTAATGTATCAAGTTCTAAGACTATCTAGAGAAACTGGAAGTAGCGGGTCTGTAGCTGATTTTTAGGAGAAAGGAAATCATCACATCACTAAAAAATTTATGTATTGCTCAAAAGCACTGAGTGGAAAAACATTGAGTAATTAATTAATGATCAGCTTAATGAATACTAGAAAGCATACACCCCAAGAAAGATAACAGCTCACTGAATCAGGTTAAAGTTCCCATGAAAAATTTTGAAGACAGGCAAAACTTCAGAAAGAAGTACTTTTTGCAGATCCTTGAGCGTGACAACAACACTAAAGCAACGGACCCTGTTATTGTCAAAATCCAATATTCTGGTCAAACACTCTTGAGAAAGGAGTATGAAAGAAATGTTGAAATGACTGGCAGTTAAGACTTCATAGATGTACATTTATTTTAGGAGCAAAAAGCATCAAATATTAGTGCAATATCAAACATCTTCCTAGCAGGAGGCATTCCTGCAGGTATATTGCCCAATGACAAAAAGCTTTCAAAACAGTGGTTCAAACCACAGAAGAGCTGCATTTAAAACAAGGAAGAAATGCCTAAAACTACTTTTGGTTTGAGCAACGTTAAAAATTATTACAAACATTTAAGCTAACAGCTAGAAGCCATTTTATAGAAACCACAGTGCTAAGCACCCTGTTTCCCTCTTGCTTCCCTCCCCCTGCTATTATAAATTTGAATGGTCTAGGGAGAATGGAGCAAGCTGCAAAAACTACTACTCCTTTCTTCCCAGGGAAAAAAAAGACATACTACCCACAAGCCAGTCTTTATCCCTGGGTGAGATTTGCAACAGCCTGCATTATTTCATGTCCCTGCAGGTGACTGACACCTTTTTTCTTCAACAGTAAACTACCTACACTACAGAGCAAAAAGGACACGTACGCGCTCCCCCTGGCAGTCAAGAAAGGCTTCATCTAATGAAGGACACAGGCAACAATCATCTATTACAGTGCTAACTAGCAGTGCCAGACAATGATGTATGAAAAACAAACCGTACTCTTAAAGCAAACCTTTGTGCCCTACACACAGCAATTATCAAAGAATGCTTTTAGAAAATTCCAAAATGAACATCACAATTCAAGCTAATTGACTTCAAGGACAAATATTGGGGTGGCAGGAGACAGAGAAAGGCACCTGATCTTTTGCAAGGCAAGAACTCATAAGACAGCCTTTCCAAAAGCACAATGCTCAGCTTACCAACCTAGATACTACAGGTAAGCAGACACAGCTGAACTTCTGATATTTATGAAAACCAAAAAGCAATCAGGTAAATTATGATCTTCTTTAGCCACTATGCAGAACAACAGAAATGCCAGATGAACATCATGAATTCTGTGTTTTTAATTAAGCTGTAGTTTAGATACAGTCAAACCACGTTTATTCGTATCCAGAAAGCTTTTCATTGAACAACACTTCCTACTCCAATCTGATGTTTTATGATAAGGTCATAAACACCTGAAAACCCATATTTATAATGGAAACACTGACAATCTGAAGTAGAAGGCCCTAGAAAACAAAAAGGCTTTTGTGTTGAAAATCCATTTAAGTAAAAAGCAAACATATAAAGTTTTCCACAAGAACTAAGCTTGTTATATTAAATATACAGAATATCACACACAAACACAGATGCACATATTCCCTTTCTACTGTCCAAAGCAATTACACCGCCCACATTTGATATCCTTTAACCACAGCCTGCAAAGTACAGTACTGGCATAGGTTATTCAGTATCATCTGTAAAGTAACCTACGCCAGTTTTTAATGCACAACGGAAATCTGGTTTGCTCCCAGCTGCTGGTATAATAATTACTGTCCTATGGTTGCTAAGAGATACTCTGAATTTTTTTCCAAGACTACTAAAACATTTCTGTGCGCACAGGCAAAAGGATGCTGGGTAAAGCAATAAAATGACTCCAGCTGTAGCTCTCCAGCAGAATTCAAAGCCAGATGACAGCTGTAGAGAAAATGAAAACCAGACTTCTTCAAATTTTCTCTCCTTACTTCTCCCAGTTTGCCAGAGTTAAGTCCGGGAGAGAATTCAACATTGTTCTGCAAACATTGTTAAAAATGTTCTGCTTTAAGTAAGTTTAATGATTACACAGAAGGATGGATGAGAGACCACATTTCCGTTGCATCCCAGTTCTTGCATTTACTTCCCATGAGGCCTGAAAATCTGCTGTTTGATGCTAACCAACACAAGAATGTTTAAATGTTTTTTCCTTAATTTTTCAGTTGTGAATAGATGATACAGGTTTCAAAAACATCTGTAAAACTTCCTTCTGCTTTAGCTATTTCTAAGACTGATGGAGCAATATATTTGGCAAAGAAACTACTATTTTCAGGTATGTGTTTCTGACATGGGGTGAAATATGAACTAGATTACTCCGAATATTTTGTACAGTTTGAAGTAAAAAATAAGACATTTGACATGCTTCTTTCTTCAAAGGCTGTTCTATCTGAATATATAAAGCATACTAGTTGCAAAGAGGCTGTTAGGGTCAGGAAGAAAAAAATATAATTCCTCCTGTTTCTAGAATACAATTCCAATAAAAAAGCTTAATAAACCCAAATATTTTAGCACAGTATATGATTAGATTTATTTTAAATTGATAATGTGAATTAGTATTACTTTTAGTTCTAGGAACTGGGCCTAGTCAATTTATTAACTGCACTAAATATTGCTAATCTTTACTGGTTTACCATGTAGTACTGTCTTCTCCATAAAAACAATGGTAAATTATTTCACACTTCCTCACAGGTCATAATTTATTTTAGAAAAATAATACATAATACAAAAATAACAACTTCTTCAAACCTTTTGTTACAGACAAAATAAATTGAGTGGTCACTAAATAATGCAGTTATGAAAAGGTCTCGAAATAGTGTATTTACAAAGAGGCATACGAACTGTTAATGTCCTTCCTGACTGCACCAAAACCACTTATGATGTAAGTTGCAGGCCTTTTCCAGCTTTGTATTAGCAAAAAAGCCCAACTTACTTACTTCTGAAAGAACAAGCCAAACTTTTTCTTCTGCTTATAATTTATCAGTCTACAGTTTTCTTCTGTCAGTCCTAAGAAACTGAAAAGCATAAGTGATCCATTTCTTACTACTTCAAAACTGTTAAAATGTGCTGGTAGCCTATAAATAACACCAGTATGGCTGAATCAACAAAACCTGAAAGAAATTAAGGCTCAACTGCTCTATTTTTCAGTTCTCAAAAGCAAGACTTAGGCACTTCAGGATCCAAAACCCACATAAAAATAATTTTAAATGCATGAGTTCTAGATTTCATTGAAATTTACTTCTAAGAAAAAAAATTCTGATTTTTATGTTTTTTGTTTTTTTTTTCAGTTAAGCTAGATGAGTTTTAGAGCAAGAAGTTTATATTTGGTAGAGGAAAAGAATACAAGCCAATCTTTTAACAAGCAAGCAAACTGACTTAAACAAGCTGCTCATCTACTACATTCAAAATGCATCATTTCATACCAAAACCATCCAAACTTCCTACCCAAACAAATTCCCAGCGTATATTTCCATGTAAGTATATACACATTTGCAGGCTCAATTTACCAACATTTCACAAAGTCAGATAGCTCTTCATTATCTCATTTGTATATTTCTATTTGAAATTAATCTGGTAAGACTAAGGCTTATTTGATGATATAAGCAATTTACATCTAATAGGTTAACTAAACAACTAATAATCATAATAATTTAAGCAACCATTAGAAGCAAGTATGAAAACCTTTGATTGTATTCTTTTAATACTGAGACTAACATTATTTGTGAACTCAGAACAGCTAAAGAAACTATAATGAAGCTATGTCTTCTTAAAATGATAAATCTGATCTGCAGTAAAAAGAATGCTTTCTCTGATTTTATTTACAAAACGTAAATAAAACCCCAAAAAATCTAGTAACTCAAGATACAACATAGTAAGCCAAATGCTAGCCTAGAAAGCACAAGAGTTCAGTTTTTGGATCTGCATTTAAGAGATGCACATACAACCTTTGGACAATCACTGTTTCTGCTTGCTGCTTCTATAAAATGTAATAATAATTACAAGGAGGCATTGAGGTTTCACAACACCATCACTGAGAAGATCAGTTTTGATCTTACTTGGATCACTTTATTTGCTCTCTGTAGCACCAAATATAACCAGTCAGCGAAATAACTTAAGAAGCATGTTTAGCTTTCTTCATCACTGGTCATCTTCATTACAAAAAAAATCAAAAACAATGGTAATGAAATTTATGTGCAAACTACATACTATATTCATACTTCAAATATACACTAAATACGGGATTCCTGCTGACTAGAACAGCACAGGCAAAACTGCCCTTATATTCTACCCACACTCTAAAATGCCCTTGCATAGATATACTCCAAAATTTACTCAAAAATACTATTAGAGACTTGGGAAAAGAGCTTATAAAACAGCAAAACAAAAAATCATTAGGCCTTTTAAACTACATAGAGGCAAGAAGTGGGGGAGGGGAAGTCAACATGACTCCTCAAATACACAGTGCATTATCTTTAAAGAAAAATGGTCTTATCCACCAGTTAAAAAATCCCGGGGTATCAAGTGTCATTTACAACAGTATCAATCATGGAAGGGGAAGGAGTTAATAATATGAAGGAGAATGTACACTATTTGGTATTTCAAAGGTATTCTTGGTGACTAGACCTGGTGCCTGTAACTAAAATGCAGCTTTTCTACACTGACATTCATAACCCTGCAGTTACAGCTTCTTTACTGATACACAAACCTGCTAAAGCAGGGTGCATTCAGTCTTCCTTGCACATTTTTTTCCCCCCTCTCTTCTGGTGTTGTTATTGACAGGCAATGCTAGTATCACTTATTTTACTTTGGTATGTAGAGATATGGTAAGAGATATTGGCTAGCTTTTTTGCCTTTTGAAAGCAAGCAATTCTTGCCACCTATCCATGGCACAAATCCCCAAATGTAATATGTGAAATTACATTTTATATCTAGAATGTAAAAGATGGTTCTACCATGTAAAAGACAGTTTGTACCACATAAGATTGTTTGTACCTGTAATATATATATATTGTGTATATATATACATACACATCTATTTTATAAAGAATATTTTTAAAATATATGTGTTTATTTTTAAAAATATATATAAAGTAAAACCTATATTTAGATATGTAAATAGGTGGTGCATTTATATTCACATGTATATCGAATAGTTGTTGTAAATACACTTTTCTCCACTTTTCCAACAACAAATTTTGTAACTCTAAGGAACCACAGATATTTGCTTCAGTTTTTTCATCCTTATATAGAAATATAATAACTAGGCAGCAAAATCAAGAGGCAATTCATTGTTCTAATCTCATTAGGCCTGAAGAAATTGTTCAATAATTAATCCTTGCAACAAAGCATGTTTAAGCAAGTCTTTTAAGAGCTGATTAAGGACTGAATTAACTTTGGCACACATTTCCTCCATCCTGTAAAAATCTCATTCCTTTTTTAAATCTGAACTATCTAATATTTTTAGCAATTTTACTTTCAAGTGCCTTAAAATAAAGCACTGCAAATAAAGAACAACAGGTGGTTGCACAGCCAACACTCACACAAAGAAATAAATTTCTTCTATCATAAAACAGAAAGAAATCAGGAGATTTCTGCATTGCCACTGCATTGCAGTATCCTCTCTAAATACTTGACTCTCAGTCTCCTATCGAAATTTCATTCTTACCCATATCTTCTAAGTCTGCTGCTAATTTTTTTGATTTTGCGTTGCAGAGATTCTACACTCGATCTATCTACACTGATAAAGAATTTATGCTGCCATATATGACAAAACTACTTCCCACAAGAAACTTAGGAATACTATCAATTTTCTGAATAGCCACTAAGACCCCTGAGTCAACTTATTTCTTCATATTAATTTAAATATTTGCACTCTGAAAACTGAGTATGTGTGTGAATAAAGGCAAAGCTTTCCCTAAAAATGTAAATAAGAAGGAAGAGATAACAAGCATACATAAACAGGAGGAGGATTTACTCACTTATATTACAGCTTTTTACTTTGTGTGTGTGTATACATATATCTACCTCTATATCTATATATAGATATTCGTAATATTTGTTTATACTGGCTTTTTAATTACATGGATTCTTGGATATTACCAGGGAGTGCTACCCACCAATGTCACAGTACTTACAGTATATGATATGGTATTTGTGTCAAGCACTATAACTCTGAAGCATGGTTGGAATAAATTTTTACCTCAAGCCATTATGACCTATAGAAATTAGTCAATTGAATTAGTCAAATTGAATAGTGCAAATAAGGATCCATAAAAACTTGAGTCTCAACAAATGATTGTCTTCAGTGTGTTTTTAAAAATCGTCTGAACTTCAGCCCTTGTCTGGACCAGATTCTTTTATCTCAACAAGTTTTTAACTCTAACCATACAATGAAGTGTCTTATCACTGCAGAGTGAAATCTAAGAAAACAAGTAAAACAAGTAAAACAAGTAAAAAGATTCTTGATTCCTCTCTTTTTTCCATAAGAATATTTCAAGTTCCAATAAATTTAAAGAGGACACATAACCTGAACAGACATTTTGAACTTAAAAATTAAACTCAAGATGACTAATCATCCTATTGATTAAATAATGCCTACTTTGTTTAGGACAGATCATACTGTAAATCTTCTAGATAATTGTTCAGGAATTTATTTAATTAAACTTAATTTTGCTATTGCTCTTATTTTACTTATTCTCACTAATGAGAACAAAATCTGTTCAGCATATTTCTAAAAAAAAAAATGCACAATTCATTTAAAAATTTACTCACTTGAAAGCAGTCTTCTGCCACTTCAACATCATTTTGGGAGGGTGGATAACCTACACATAAAGAAGAAAAAAAACAAAGTAGACAAAGTTATTTTTTTTTTATTTACAGCTTACTGCTTCCAGTAGTCCACACATCTTTCAATATCCAGCTATGATGATATAAACATTCTTGTTTACCTTTTAAAACCTATTAACCAGTGTATTTCAAGTTGATTTAAGTAAGCATCATTCATTTCTACATTCTGTATTTTATATACTGAGTATTCCTACCCACACTGCTCTCTCCTTTTCACACCTTTCCTGTGAAAGCATTTTCAAAGCGTCATCAGCAGTCAGAAGCAAGGGAATATGTTCCTTTTAATGTAGCATTTTGAAAATTAAAGGCAGATACATTTGGTTGGCATGAATGCACAGTGTGCTGTATTTTGCTATAAATCAGCAGAAATTGGAACTGTAACACCCTAAGAGAGAAAATTACTCTTGTGTTCTCTAATTATCTTGAAGGGATATGCATGATATCAACACAATTCAGAAGAAGTCATTCTACTATGTCAAAAAGTATTTCCCTTCAGAAGTATGTTTCTCCCTTTGTTAATAGGACAAAAAGTTAAATCCCTAACATTACTTTTTACAAGCCTGAAAGAGATGTTCTTTCAATTCAAGACACCTGTTCTCTTCCCTCCCTCTCACAATGCAGTAATACATTTATCGTATTTTCAGCTCAGAATCTAGGCTTGATGATGACATTAGTGAAGCTCTGGAAGCAGTTAGCCATATTACTATTTGAGCAAATTCTTCTACTGTTCCATAAATACCTGTCCTCAGAACTACACTGTCAGCTGTTAGTAAACAAACAACACTATTAACTGAAAGTATGTGCAGATAAAGAGAGAACTCAACAGGTTGCAAATCATTCAACTTCATAGCTTATCCTCTAAGAACAAAACAGATGTAAAAAGCTTCTGAGAATAAGATCCAAGTGAGACAATATAACAGTGTAGCTTCCTTCACTTCTTCATGTCTAAAAGAATGAGGCAATTCTATATTATGTAAGGATATTTCAGAAAATTACCTTATTAGTGTCTGTAAAACAATTTAAGACACTTGGATGAATGGCACTTTAGAAATACCAGAAGTGCTATTAAAAACTGTTAATACTATAGATCAATCCATGTTCTTAAATACTGTCAGCACTGATGTTACATAAAGTGCTTTGACATCTCATTTAGTAAACACTCAATATCTCTCTGCCCCACCAAGACCTTCACCTGAAATATGTACCTTGAGAAATATCCTCTACTGCTCTCCGAATACCTCTATCAAATGCTCTTGCATCAGCAGGACTCTGAAATGTGAGGCCAAACTTTTTGTCATCAATCTTCCAGTGGTAAAAAGTAGGAGTAACTTTGTTGTAAACGAGGTCTTTCTTTAGTGTGCATTCCAAGACCACCTTCCAAAAAGAAAACAGAAGGAAAAGATATCAGTAACCAATATATCTGAGAAGAAAAGGTAGTCATACATCATAAGAGCAGACAGAAATCTCTCTTTAAATTTCTTCCTGCTAGAAGGATGTAATTTAAACTTAATTTCCTTCATGGCCAAATTATTCACTATCAATTGCTGATAAGGTGGTAGGGATTAAAAACACTATTCATATACTAAGTCAATCTTTCCATTTGAAAATCTCACCAATAAAATTATATCATACCTCCAACAAGAACTTCTGTCGATACAAACATGGTAGATATTCAGCAAATTAAACAGGCCACATCTCCTAAAAAACATTACTGTGCTGATACCAAATTTTACTGTATCACTGGGAATTTTATTTATATACTTATTCTATAAAATTTTTGAGCACTAGACTAACTTCATGCTGCTTTCAGGCCACATCAGATTTCTCCTACTAGAAAGGCTACTAGACAAGTGAAAATAAAACAAGACAATTGTTTTAAAAACTGTAACTAATAAAATCTAAAATCTTCATGAATGTATTACTGCCTGCACTTAGACAGTAATACATTTATGGCTCATGTTCAACTATAACAAAAATAGTAACTATGAATAATGAACAGATTTATTTGGCTACAAAATCTTTAAAGGTAGACATGCACATTCAGTTATGAAGCAAAGTCAGTCTTCACACAGAATCATAGAATGGTTTGGGTTGGAAAGTACCTCAAATATCACTTAGTTCCATCTTCTCTGGACAACCCGTTCCAGTGCCTCACCACCATCACAGTAAAGAATTTTTTCCTAATATCTAATCTAAATCTACCCTCTTTCAATTAGAAGCCATTCCCCCTTGTCGATGCTCTTGCAAATAGTCTCTCTCCATCTTCCTTGTAGTCTCCCTTTGTGTATCAGAAGGCCTCATCATTTCCCCACTTTAAATAGTCTGGTTTTAAAAATATATTTGCATATTTACTTTACTGGAAAAAATTATTTTAAGCAACATTGTTACACTCTGAGTGTTTCTTGATTTTAAAAAATCAAATGTGAACAATAAAGTATGGAGGGAGACGCACTGATTTGCTCTTGTAGCACTAGGTATAATAAAGCTTGCAAAAAGACAACCTATTTCTGTATTACTATTTGATGTTGAAAACCTACACTGACAGACAAATGAGAAATTTTAGTATTCTATCATTTCAACATTAATGTACTTTCAGAACTTTAATGTTTAGTTTTGTTACATATGCAGCTTTTTGAAAAAAAAAAACAAAATTCCTCACAGGACATGGTAAAATTAATTTAATTATAAATCTGAGAAAAAACCCCTCACATTTTAAAAAAATATGTCTGTACTTAGGTTATTCTTACATATTCCTTATGCTCCTCCTCTCCTTTCATATCTAATTATTACATAGACAAATAGGGGTTTTCTTTTGCTCTTTATTATTTATTTTCCCTAGACCACACCGGTAATCATTGACTGCTACTGACTTTTACCTGTCTCTAGAAGGATGACGGTCTTTCTGAACATATAAACTCTTTCAGCATTAAAATAATTTTTGTTACTCCACTTGGAATTCCCTAAATGGTCAACAATATGAAGGTAAAACTGCCTATAAGAAAACATAAAAAGGAATCTAACTATTTGCTGTAGGTGTGTAGGAAAAGGTACTGCAGAAAGAAAAATGTCATGCTGCAGTTCTAAGATGTGTTAAATGATGGTTCTTTGTTCCTTTGGATGATCTTAAACTTGCTTCTTCCTTAAAGGCAGAGTTAAAAATGAAGATTGCTCATATCAGTGCCTTTTCTAGGTCTGTGAGCTCTTTTGTGGGATGTCTAACACATTAACACCAACTGCTTTCATGCCATATTTTGTGTGCACTTTCATCCAAAACATCAACAAAAAGTACTGTAAGCCTGATTTTACAACACCTCAATGAACATCTGGTCCCAAAGAAATTAATCTAGATTACTTTATCCTGAAAATTCATACCTGGTGACAATTTTACCACTAGAGATAAATAACTGGATTAAAATTTTACTGAGTAGAAGTTATGATTTCCAAAGATACCCAAACCAAAGCAGAAAACCCCCAAACTGACTCCCTCCAACCCAAAAAGCAACACTGGTACCACACACCCCCCATCTCCAGCCCCCACAACATTTTATATGACAAGATATCATTAACAAAACAAGCAAACATCCTATCCAACATTATTGTTTTTAACTTAAGGAAATAACAAATTTGATGGGATGATGTGGGGAATAGGGCCTGGAAAAAACCAGACCTTTGCAGAGAACAGAGCAACTCATTACAGGAGTGAGCTGTAACTCCAAAAACTGCCGTTTCAACTGCCGTGACAGATAGCAGCCAATTAGATGCTGCGGTCACAGTTTTTACCTCATAATGTATGTTTGTCTGTTGTTCTGTTGGTGTTGGGTTATAAAAGGGGCTATGACCCAATAAACTTGTCTCAGCTTCACCCCCGAGTCCATGCCTCAATACACCACAAAATGGCGCCCAACGCGAAGCATGAAAGAAACTAGCTGTTTCTCTGGTGGTGTAGCTCAGCTGAACACAAGAAAAAAGCGCTGAAAGGAAGCAATGAAAAAGAGCTCTTAATTATCTTACGCTGGGCGATAAGGTAAGCAGCAGAGAACGAAATGGGAACCCCTTTAATTAAACAGCAAGAAGCTGTATTGCAAGCCTTTGCTGAAATCCTTAAAAAATATGGGAAAACAGTAAAGGAAGAAAGTTCAGAACATCTCTTGTTGTGGACATCGAAAGCCGATCCCATGTTAAATAACAAACTTTGGGCAATCTCTTTATTAACAACATGGAGAGTAGCTTTTAAGACTCTGCAAGCTCATGCCAGCTCCGGAGAGGAGCTGTGGAAGCAGAAGGAGCAGTGGAAGCCTGGAAAGGAGTATTAGGCAAGCATGGCATTGGAAACTGCAACGATAATGGTCGCCTTCTGCTAGAATTCTGTGCAGAGCAGCAGCTCACCATCACCAACATGATCTTTCAGCAGCAAAATAGTCTGAAGACAACCTGGATGCATCCTAGATCCAAGCATTGGCACCTCATCAATTATGTCTTGGTGTGACAGAGATGTTTGCGATGTTCATCATACCCGCGTGATGCCTAGTGCAGAATGTCAAACAGACCATCGACTTGTGCACTGTAAACTTCAAACCTAAAAGGGGTGATATTCCAAGGAGGAGATTCCAAGTTAACGGTCTTCAATCAGGGAGAGACAGCTTTCAGGCAAACCTTCAAACTAGGCTCGAAGATCATTCCATAGATTCCTCTCCTGAAACACTTTGGCAATATATTCAAATAGCATCCTGCAGTCCTCTGAAGAATCCTTAGGGTTCTCCTTCAAGAAGAACAAGGACTGGTTTGATGAAAACAATCAGGAGATCCAGGAAGAAGAGAACTGCTCACCAAGCACACCTTGCACTGCCATCCTGCCATGTAAGAAAAGCAGCCTTTTATCTTGCATGCAGCAAGCTCCAACAGAAACTTCGTGACATCCAGAACAAGTGGTAGATCAATCTAGCTGAAAAAACTCAATTATGTGCAGATACAGGTGATCACAGAGGATTCTATGAGGCCTTGAAAACAGCATACGGGCCTACATACCAGGTCCAAAGCCCCCTACTCAGTGCATATGGGAGGGTGCTTTGCACACATAAAATCTCCATTCTGAATCACTGGTCTGAACACTTTCAGACTCTTTTCAGTACTAGCCATGTAATGCAAGACTCAGCAATTCAGTGCTACACAGCAACCGGTGAAGAATGAATTGGACATTGTCCCTACTATGGGAGAAACTCTTAAGGCCATACAGCAGGTGAAAACTGGCAAGGCAGCTAGAGTTGACTGAATTCCACCTTAAGTCTGGAAACATGGGGGCCTTTGCACTCCATGCTAAATTTCACGAGTTTGTGGTGCGCTGTTGGGAACTAGGCGAACTCCCATCAGACCTTCGTGATGCAGTCATCATCACCTTGTATAAGAAGAAAGGTATTAAATCAGACTGTTCAAATTACCGTGGTATTACTCTGCTCTCCATTGCTGGCAAAATCCTGGCAAGAATACTTTTGAACAGACTAATATCCGCTATAGCAGAAGAACTTCTACCTGAAAGCCAATGTGGTTTCAGAGCCAACAGGAGTACCACAGACATGGTATTTGTCCTCAGACGACTGCAAGAGAAGTGTAGGAAACAGAAAAAAGGTCTCTATGTAACCTTTGTTGATCTCACCAAGGCTTTCAAAACTTTGAGCAGAAAAGGTCTATGGCAGATTTTGGAATGTTTAGGTTGTCCCCCCAAGTTCCTTAAAATGATCATCTTACTTCATGAAGATCAGCGCGGCCAAGTCAGTTATGGCAATGCACTTTCTGAGCCCTTTCTAATAACTAATGGTGTGAAACAAGGCTGTGCTCTTGCCCCAACCCTATTCACAATCTTTTTCAGCATGATGCTCCAAAGGGCCACGGCAGACCTCAATGATGAAGAAGATGGTATTTACATTCAATATCGTACCGATGGAAACCTATTCAACCTAAGACCACTGAAGGTCCATACTAAGAGCTTAAATCATCTTGTCCGGGAGCTGCTTTATGCTGATGACGCTGCCCTCGTCGCCCACACAGAAGTAGCTCCGCAGCATTTAACATCCTGCTTTGCAGATGCTGCTGAACTCTTTGGGCTGGAAGTCAGCTTCAAGAAGACAGAAATTTTCTATCAACCTCAGGAAATCTTCCATCATCCCCATATCACCATTGGCAAATCAGAGCTCAAATCAGTCCAGCAGTTTAATTACCTAGGTAGCCTCATCTCCTCGGATGGTAAGACTGATGGAGAGATAGACAACAGGTTAGCAAAGGCATATAGACCTTTCGGAAAACTCCATAAAAGAGTCTGGTGAAATAAACACCTGAAG